GGGGGGAGCCGAGGCGGCCAGGGAGGAACAGCCAACTGCCGGCAACCAGCCGGAACTGCTGGGGCCGGCCCGTATTGAAGAATATGGCCGAATTTACCCGGGCTGGCCGTATATCGGCGTATAACACGCACACATCATTTGCCCCCTATTTTCAGGGGGAAAAAGTGCGTGTTATACGCCGATAAATACGGTATATTATTACATGAGATGATGTAACACCTTGGATTATAAACTCTTACTTGATAAACAATTTCTATTAGTAAGACCACCCATAAAACCACCTATAAAACGTGAAATAGATGTCCCATACCCAGCTACAAAAGACAAAAATTATTTTTAACATTTAATTCTAAAGTCTTCAACTTAACATATTATTAAGAAAATATGGATGAAGATCAGGAAAAAATCCTTTCCATGTTGAAATCAATATACAAAACTATACTTTCAGCTTGTGATAAAATAAGAAGCAACACAAAGGAACAATGTTCTAGCTTAAATATACAAACCCAGATCTTGATTACAAGCAAAGAAGTAACAACGCAGAAAACAAAAGGAAAATTGGAACAACTAAACGCTAAGACAGAGGACCCAATTGACCAATAGACCCAGCCAACTGAAAAATCAGAAAATGGAGTGACAACATTGAAAATGGAAAAGGCTTTTCACAAATCAAGAAATCAGAATTTATTTGAGGAAAAGGAAGAACGGATTGAATGGAGGATAAAGTTATCAGGACAACTGTGGGAAATTGGAGTAACAGGGAGGCAGTTTAATGAATACCAATGGGCTTGTTCTTCTAAAAAAAACTTCAGCCAAATGGTCTTTCTTATTCCAAATAATATATATAAAAATAGAGGGAGTACTATTGCTGGCAAAGGAAGAAAGCCAGAGTAAGGGTGAAGAAAATAATGGTGTTGACGTTAGAGGAAATATTATATTACCAATTAGATGGTTGAATATAGTGGAAAATAGATAACTTTTAGAAAATAGAATAATATTATAATTAAATAGATAAGATGTGTAAACAGAATATTAGACTTTGGTATGAAAAGGGAAAAAGGGAGAAGTTGAGATAAGGGAAGCTTTTGGTCACCTAAATATAAAGTACTTGGAAATCATAAATAATAGTGTTTTCTTGAATATTGATGGGAAATTAAAGTTTGGGGGGGGGAAGCAATAACATGACATTGTTTATACAAGGACATTAAGTGCAAACGCAATCAAGATATGTATAGGCTAAAAATTATCGATAAATGTAACAAAGATGTTTCTACTTAGTTGAAAGTAAGAATTGTGTTTGCCCAATATGAGATAACAGATATTATTGGAAAGACAGAGGAAGTATTTGATGTTCTAATATTAG